CGAATCGGGTCTGTCCGTGAAGGTATCTGCTCTTTGGAAGACAATATCCCATGAAACTGGAAAATAAAACGTTGACAGCAAATTAAGCTACTCAGTGTCATTGACAGGTATCAAATGAGCTACGGGACGAATCGATTTATTTTACCACAACCTCTCTTTTGTTTCTGGTCTACAGTTAGCTCAGATTTTGTCTCAGTCATGAGTAAATACCCTGGATGCTCGCTATTTTCCTCACCCTCGTGTAACTTCGTTCGCATCCCTCAAGGGGATTGTGTTGCACGCATTTGTCTCTTCTTCGCCGCCCTCCCATGACATACGGTTATCGCGTTGTTGGCTTAAGAGACGCCATAAATCCCGTAAAGACTAACAGAGTCACCGTCGCATAAGATGGTGATAGCTTGGTTAAACCGTCCGCATGGTGGATTCACTTCAGTAGTAATCCAGTTGTATGAACAAGTTGTCCGAGAAGATATCAGCAAAGCGAGGAAACGATCGTCACTTCAGGTCCACTTCATAACCTGTTGCTGTAGTTTTGCGATCCACTTGGACAATAGCTCACCTCTAATCCACTCTAAGTGGCTGTTAGACCAATAATCACTTATCACCCGGGCTAGGTTCACGTGTTTGAAATGATTCTAGCTCGGGATGCGGATGTTGGTGTTGTTGAGTTCTCCGAGCTGGAACTGTTGTTCGAAGACGTTACGTAGCCAAACTAGGCAGCATCACCAGTGCAACTTCGTCTTTCCTGATCACCAACGGTTTGCACTTCTGATAAATAACACTGAGAATAGCAAAAAACGACGGCCAAGCATTTCTTGAAATTGACAATGTCGTTCCGTCGAGCATCTTTCAGAACGAAGAGAAGTTGTGAAGTGACTGGCAGTCGTTGACCAATCTCACAATTTAGAATCTATTGGTTCACATTGTTGGCATGATTATCCAAATGTGTAACATTTAACATTCGTCAGGATGGAAGAACACAGCAGAAATCTTTAGTACAGTTTTATCGGTGCGTGTGAGCATATGGCGCGATGATCATCTTCGTTTTTCAAATGTTTTGTTATTACCCCTTGCAATTCGAGACAATGTGCTCACTCAAAGGGGCGGTGACTTCCCAAAAACCTCTGTGAAAGGAGTACTGGACTTCTGGTTTGTGAAAATATGCGTGCATTGTTACATTTGGTATGCCGTAAATGCGGAGTAGTCACTAAGCGTCACACTATTTGCATACATAGTAGAATCATCTCGGTTTGTTCACCTCAGTCTCTGCTAGTAAGCTCCACGTGATCTCTCACGCCCCTCACTCACAGCTCGATTTGAGGACTGTAAATCAGAGAACTAACCTTCAGGAGTATGAGCAATCAAAATGGATCATTGATAAAACTACTTAAAAGTGATTTAGTAGAAAGAAAATGTCCATCGCAAGTAGTTATGCTTACAGCAAAAGTCTGATTGCATAAATTTGCTAGTCTCGAAACTGTCTTCTTTAATCCGATGGAAGATGCTATGAGATTTTTCCTTCTCCTGACATGTATGATCTGGTGGTCCTTGATCCGGCGGTGCGGGTATTTTGCAATTTTTGTTCGTGAATTCTAACCACATCACTGCTAGCCGAATTTTCTATTTCCTACTTGATAGTCTGTTATCCGTAGCCAATCTTCGGGGATAATGATGACACATTTTTCTTGTGTATCAAAGCAGCCGAGACATTAGGCTTCTTTGTA